CCCGCCGCTTCACATTGTTTCCGGCGCCCCTGGCTCACTCATGCAGTTGTCAGCTCGGCTTCAAATATAATCTTTCCCACACGCACTTGTCGAGGTTTGTATAGCTGTTTTCTACCTTTAACGGGCGAGAATAACGTGTGCGACATCAATATCTCAAAAAAACTTTAAACAAATGGTTGAATGTCGAAAAATATATTGAAACAACGAGACTGTTCTGCTACAAACACGCTAAAATATTTTTGCAAAAAAACCAAGGGGATATGTAAATTGTATGAGCGGGCTCAAAATGAGCCTTGGTCAGTGGTAACTACAATAGTCAACTAGAACCAGCGGTATCATTCTGGCGTCAGCAAAGGCATCGATCCGCCATGTTTTTAGCGACACTTTTTTATGCCGAGCAGGTCCTACAGTAATATATAGTATAGCTTAGGACCATTTACTTGGTCAAGACCGTCGAGCAAAACGATGTGATACGAATGCTTTTGATTTGAAGTTATCCACATGTGTATATAAGGTATATAGTGCCACTAATATTTAACAATTATTCCCGGAAGTGAAGGTGAATAGCGCAAGGATATTCACCGAAACGCGAAGCGTTGAGATGAATAACCTTGCACTATTCACCGATGCTGAGGTAAATAATTGTTTTAGCATATACCGCAACAAAACAAAAACGACCAGAAAACAACGAAAATGTTTTTAAAACAATTTGTATTTCAGCTCCCGTTATAATTGTAAAGGAGGTTCTAGACAAAACAATATTTCCAAGCTTTTGGTAATTTTGTTCCTTGGAAATAGCTTTAAGGAATAGCTCCACACACTGGTAAACAAAACTTTGTGGTTTTCGTTGTGTTTGGCGAAACGCCAGTAACCGGAACGAAACGGGAAGCCATTTTGTTTTTGTCTGGAGGTGACTGATAGTGTAAGGATATCTGGAGCTGAACAACTACGTATTTTTAAGCCAAAGCTAAGTCACTACGCGCGACATGCGTTTTATGTTATATAGAATGCTTGCAAACGAAATCTTTAATACTAGTCGGATAGAATTGCGCTGCCGGCTTATATTTCGCGCTGTTGTCGCAAAACCATTGCCGTGATATTTGACATATAAATGTAGTGAACAGCCAAGCAGCAGAACGTTTGATACTGATAACCTTTGCCCAAACCTCAATATACATGTCTGTAGCAATAATAGTCACATGGTAAGTTTAATTATCTAGATTTACACTAGTAAATATACACGTACAAAAGTAGAAATTTTGGGACCGGTCATAAAGTAACTGCTGGGGTGGGCTGGAGTGATTTGGGATGGGCCATTGAAAATCTTTGGGCACTTTTGATGGCTGCCAATGTTTTTGTATGTCCACGGTTGAGCCATGCACCAAACAAAAACCCATGTCTACTTCAAAAAATAAAGATAATAAAAAAGTAAACAAAACTAGCCAAATTATAAAATGCAAGTGATGCTGCATGTTGAAGTCAGTACTTTGTTTATACAACGACAACAAGTGGTCGAATCACAGCAAATACAACCAACTGGAAAGCAGCTCAGTATCGTAACTGGTGATGAATGTGTTGGTCAAGTTTGGTGGAATTATGTATGTCAATACAGTGCCGTGTATATTTACAATGTTCATAACTGCAAGTTTTTCTTATTATTAAAGTGTATTTTCCCATTTTAGATTGGGTGGGTCATGAGAAAATTTTTGTAAGATTAGATGGGCTTTGAAATTTTTATCTACATCCTTTGTTGGGTCACCGAACTTATTGGCAAAATTTGTGATTTACCTCCAGCCTACCCCAGCGGTTACTTTATGACCAGTCCCTTAACAAGATTGTTTGAAAGCAATATCCATCTCCCAAGTAAGTGCTAAATTATATTATACCGTATCAATTTTTATACGTAGGATTCAACATCAATCTTATGCAGTTGTCCTGACTCTCCATGTTTAAATGATGGAAGATGCATTGGTGGATGTGGAGACAAATCATCATTTTGTCAATGTTCCCTACCTTATAGAGGAAAATATTGCCAGCTATTATGTAAGTGAAATATTCTGTTCCCTTTCAAAAATTATTTCAAGTATGGAACACAAGATAAGACAGTTTAGAAACGTTAAAGCATTTTCTGGGTTTTCTTTCCAAATAAATCAACCCTTGAACCAAATTCTTGAATACAGTATTAGGCCGTAGGATGAGCATCCAAAAGATGCTTAGAAAACGGATTCCGTTGCACCCCTCGTGGAACTACATCATTTTTACATGAATCAATAGATAAAAACTTACTTTATCAGAATCCATTGCTCCCCAAGCGAAACAGGTGCACAATTGGGAAAAATATTCCTCCAAAGTTCGATATTTTCGCGCTTCGAAACCGCCATTGTTTTGGTAGCAAATACGCATGCGCATGTCAGCCAAACTCGCACTGCGCACGCGCAGACAGGAAAAATGGATTTTTCCTGTGGATTTTCTCCGATTTCCCCCGTAAAAACAACAGAACAAAATCACGGAATAGAGATCAAACCTTGTAATATTAACGAATAAATACACATTGTACATTTTGCTTGCTCAAATGCTAAATCACTTCAATTCATTGGCTATATTGTTTCAAAATACCGTTTTAACGTTTAATTCTAATTTTTAACATCCTAATTCAATACAAATTTGTGTGAGGTACAAACCCACCTGTATCAAACAGGACGGAGAATATATAAATATACATATAATTCATACAATCAAGGAACAAATTAAATATTTTGCTCAACTAAAGATTTGGCCAAACGTAAGGGCATTGTCGCGGAATTATTCGTAATTTTCAATGTTTGCTCAAATGTTTCCCTGTCTCCCATATCTGGAAACATTGGCTTTTATTGCAGAAACAAGTTGCTCCCCGGAAAACAAAAATATTTGCTATCAAATTCAGAAACATTTGATGAAACGCTCTTTCTCCGTTTGCCGACGCTGGTAAGACACATACCGAAACATTGGTAAGACAAATATACATATGACAAATATCTTTGCGCAACAATGTTTCCCAGTCTATAAACTCCTAGAAAAACCTCTGATCAAATATATAATGTATTGCATAATTATATAAGATATGTTTGGCGCTTCTTCAATTGTGCGTTCGAACCATCCATCGCTTAAGTATGTTCTATGCATGGATACAAATCTTTGGATTCGGACAAACTTTTCCATTCGTTCCAGCCATCTTTTCCAAGCGACGAAACCGGACTGCACCAGTGAAGGACGTTTAACTGTGAAAGAAACATCTCCCAGGAACCAACTCGAAATTCGTTGTAAAAAAAGATAAATTGGGAGGAAATATAAAATCCATAATTTCATCATAACTATCTATAATTGAAAAAAATATTTCATCCTTAAGCCCAGATTTTTATCAATGCAATTAAATCCCACTTATTGGATCCTGGCCAAGGATCTACGCTCAATTAAAACGAGATTGCATGTAGTCTACGATAAAATGTCCTGGTTTCTGTCTGGTAAAGTTCTACACTATATATTATAGTGTGACATAATTGGTATTTTACCACTATGTAGAATAACAAGGAATGATTCAACCTGTTTTTTTTGTGCCCACACTAGTTGACTTTTTCTTATCTGCTCCAGGGTGGGTCTCAGCTCCTCCACCAGGGTGGGTTTCAGCTTCTCAGCAGATAATACCTATAACATTACCATCATTGTTCTTCAAATATGCCATCGAACCCTGTGTCATCGCCGTCGTCAAGTTCGAATAATAGATCATGACGGATGAAGAAGGATGTTCTGCTTCGAGCAAGCCTTAACCGTTTCATGGCCGATTGTTTACGTCCATTCGCTGAATACAACTTAACTTAATTCCCGTTTTCCAAATTCTCACTCGTGTTGATATAACTGTATATCAACACGAGTGGAAATTGGGAAAACGAGAAATTGTGTGGAAACACGACACCCGAAATCACATACTTGTACCTTTATCAGGTAGGAAGCTGCGGGACATAAAACGATATCGTCCCGGATATCGTTTTTTGTCCCGGATATCGTTTTTTGTCCTGCTAAATTTCGCGCCTTGTCAAAACAAAGATGGCCGACTCGAGGTTCGTGTTGGTCACTGATATATATCAGTGGTGTTGGTTGATGTCGACAGTTTTATCGAAGGAAACAAGAACGATAATAGAAAACGAATGACTTAAATTGCATATTATTTATATGAATGGTCTATTTATTTTCTAAAATCGTATTTGTTCAGTAAATGATCAACTTTTTTGAATTCTAAAATGATCCTATTTTTTCAAAACTGTTTACTTTTGGGTGTCAAACCCTGATAAAGGTACAAGTATATAATAAATAGGTTATCGTACTCGGAATTCGGTGATATCAGTTTTATCGCTCTCGGAAAGATATCACAATTGTCCCTCGCTCGCTGCGCTCGCTCGTGACAATTGTGATATCATCCCTCGAGCGATAAAACTGATATCACCTCATCCCTCATATGATAACCTATATATATCAATACGGCAAGAATGTTTTATATTTGTTTTATAATATAGCACAAAGAAGTGCAAAGAAAGAAATTTTCCGACGTTTCCGTGTTGACATTGAGTTATATCAACACGGCTCTTAGCCAATCAGCGTTCAGAATTTACAAATGCTATATTATAATTGTTAATTATCAATCATTGAAGGGATTTGTTGATGGAAATTTCGAGTGGAATCAGACTTAACCAGGAGCTGTTGCAAAAAAATGCAACTATAGGCCCTCTGGCACAACTGCACCTTGTTAGGTCTAAATGAATGTGTAAAAATTCCATTCGAAATTTCCATCGACAAATACCTTCAACAATTATTTATACCGAGTGAGATGGCCAAAATTCTGATATTTCTCAATCAACATTACAGTGACTGCTAAAAGCTGCACAGAATGGTATCAACTTGGAGCAAGGCATGACGGTACATATACCATATATCCTGACGACCAAGGAGGTTTCAAGGTAACATGTGATATGATGTCATCAGGAGGAGGCTGGACTATTTTTCAACGACGTTTGAACGGTAGTGTTGATTTTTATCGTGGCTGGGACGACTACAGTAATGGTTTTGGTGACACAAACAGTGAAATTTGGCTTGGATTGCATCAGATCCGTCGATTAACTCAGTTTGAGCGTCAGATTTTGAGAATTGACATGGAAGACTTTGACAACAATAGCGCATATGCACAATACGAGATTTTTTCAGTCGGAAGTAAGGAGGAAAAGTTTAAATTGACGGTTGACAGATACTCAGGTGTGTGCTAATTAAAATTGTCAAATATTCCCTAAAATTCATATTTATTTTTATGCATAGCGAGTGTCAATATTTTTACTTTCTTATGTACAAATCGCGACCGAGACTGAAATTTCGAGTTCACGAGCAAGGGCTTTTACTGCATAATATAATTGTTGCCAAGATCAAGTACAAAAACGCAAGTAAATTTTCCAATTTCTGAACGCTGTTCCTGGGGTATACTGGTGTTTCAAACCTAAATGATTTCTCGGAATGCTTAAATCCTGGTTTGAAAAGTCGTTGAATTGCCAAAATGCGAAACACCAGTAATTATAACCTCTAATTTGTCCCTGATTGTTAAACTAAGAATACATTGACGCCCATGCGTTTTCCTCACCCCACCCTGCTAAAAACAATCTCCTAGGCTTCTATCAATTGCAAGATTATTATTTCTCCTTAGTCATGTGTGAGAATAATTTTTCAAACAAACTGCGAAGCGTTTCTCCAACCATTGACCTACATTGATCTCAATACAATTGATGCGTTTGGTGTAATTGTGTATACATACATAGTAAAGATTTTTGTGCAATTATTCTAACTGCGAAAATATTTATTAACATAAGATTTTAAAAGTGTGCAGTTGCTTTCCGTTTTCGCTCTCACTCTGACTAAAATAAATAAAAAAAAACTCCACCTTGCTTGCCATAGGTAATGCTGGTGACTCACTGTCCATTTATCATAACAACATGAGATTCTCAACAAAAGATGCAGACCATGACACAAGTACTACTGGTTCGAACGTACACTGTGCTCAAACTTACCATGGAGGTTGGTGGTACAAATCATGTCATACATCAAACCTCAATGGCAAATATTATCATGGTGGATATCAAAAGACGTTTGCTGATGGTATCAATTGGTTTGATTGGCACGGATATCGTTATTCTTTGAAGAAAACTGAGATGAAAGTGCGACGAAGACCAGACTTTTAAGAGAGGACAGATATATTAGCAAAACGATGAAAATAGCACTTCAGTGGTGTTCTTTAGCATGTATCTTACACTTTTGCGTAGTACTGCATGCAACCTGCATGCTTAGTATCTGCATGCATTTCAGTATCTATAAATTTAACGACTCAACAAGCAGAACATTTAGTATACAACCAAGTGGCGTGACCTTGTTTTAAGGGTCCCGTTGATTTACCACGAAGAGCATCGATGCAGGCGGGGGGGAGGGGTGAAGAGGGAGGGGAGGGGCACTTGTCTAAAACGTTATATTGTGAAACTCATTAATAATTCATTAAATAAATAATTTAACCTGATGATAATTATTACCAATTCGATATTTTTCATACATCATTACCCATTACAATTTTGCTTATTTCTATCATCCAAAAAATACCTAAGAATTATTGAATCTCAATTAATCTCAGGTAAGACAGATCACGGATATACTAGGTGATCGAGGTCTTCCAGACTCTCGCTGTCCACAGCCCTTAGGAGTTACGCCATTAGTACACTGGAAAATGACAAATTATTCTGAATTTTGAGCATCTCCCTATTTATTGATTGATTGATTGATAATAGTATTTATTCAGGAGAACCCCATATAATGTCAGCGTAGTCGAATAATGGGAGGATGAGAGAATTGTAGATTGTAAGTCGAGCTTTTAATGGGATGGATGTCACTTGAGTGATCGGACCAAGTGAGATTCTCTGAAAAGGTGATTCTTAGATATGTAAAAGTTTGTCTCGATCTAGCAAGTTGTTGGTCATTAACGTATATGGAGATATTGGCGAATGTTTTTAGGCGACGGTTACTGCCAAAAAGGAGGAACTTGGATTTTGCACAGTTTAAAAACAGGCTATATCCAGACTTTTTTCGCGGGCTATCATTTTCACGTGTGGTTAATTTTTTGCCAATGGTCTCAAAGACGTCTCATTTGTGGAAAGTCTCATGGTATATTTGTATTTATCACTTATTTACTGAGACCGACGGAGGTCGAGGGGCCGTAAAACGTGTGCTTTTTTCCAGAGGTCTCAGTAAATAAGTGTTTTGTTGTGTGGCAAGTGTCAAAGTGTCGATAATTCACCTGGCATTCCTTCTTTACCTCTTATTAATAGATTAATTATCTCTTCTGAACGACTTGCAAACCGACCGGTAGACGCGAACAGCTCGCGCCTCACTTCCGGTTTTATTATTGACCGGTCAAGAATTATTACATATTAATTATTATTTATTTAAAAAATTCCTGGTTTCTGATTGGCAAACAGCCAACTGTGAAATTTCATATCAACTCAATGGCTAACCAAATATGGACTTTTCACATTCATTTTAGCAAAATGACGTCAAAGAGTCAACATGAAAAAATTTGGACGCGTTTGCGCCATATTACTATGACGATGGGCATCATATTGACTCACTGACGCCATTGATATGACGACGACGACGGCTGCCGAAGGACTAAGGAATTGTTTTTTTCTTAATACAAATAAAATACAAATGGCTTCCGTTTGTTTTGATTTTTTTAAAGAAATAATAAAACAATTATTGAATTCGGTTTTCGCACAATATGAAGAATTATCAAGCCCTCAGTTTGCCGTTATCAACCTCAGCCTTCGGCTTCGGTTGATAACGGCAAACTGAGGGCTAGATAATTCTTCATATCGTGCTCCACCTCATGCAATAATTGTTACTGAAATAATCTGGGTCATTAAAATGACTAAAAAATAACAAACTCGAATATGGTCTGTGCCAGCATTGGTCAGTCAGCATAAAGTGAATCGGTGATTCAAGAGTAGTAGTAGAAGTAGAACTTTATTTATCCACGCTGACCCCGTCAACCGTAGCTGATTTCCACGGGGGGCGTGTGCCAGAAAATTATTTTACATGCAGAATATGATAAGGATAAGCTAAGCTATTACAGTAATATATAAATTTAAAAGATATAACAAATGTTTTGAGCTATTTACAGGTAAGTTATATTTACAAAGGTTACCAAGCACTAATGTGAGCAGCGATTTTATTTCGAAAGGAAGAAAGTGACTTGCTTTCCTAATTTCTTTTGGTATAGAATTCCAAATGTTTGCTCCGTCGTACATAAAACTATTTTTCATGCTATTTGTACGTGGTTTTGGTAAATAAAGACCACTTGAGACATCCCGAAGGTGGTAATTAGTTTTCTCACTCTTAAACGAAAATAGATTTGTGAGTGATTTTGGGCCCATTTTGTTTAATAACTTATACATCATTCTTGCTTTAGTTTTCTTCCTTTCAGTTTGGAGTGGCTCCCAGCCCAAAGTACGTAGCGCAATTGTATAATCTACGTCATTGCTTATATTCAGAATGATTCTTGCCGCTCTATTTTGCAGTTTTTGCAGTCGTTTTGATTGAGTTTCGCCAAATACATCCCATACTTCACAGCAGTAGTCAAAGTACGGACGAACAATAGTGTTCTATATCAAAATAAGTGTATCTTGATCAACAAATGGTTTGATCCGACGAATAGCAGAGATTCCTGCTGTAACTTTTTTGCAAATATTTTCGGTATTACTTTTCCAAGATAAATGCTGGTCAATTGTTACTCCTAGAGTTTTGCATTCATGAACTTGTTTAATTTGTATATTTTCAATCTAAACATTTGGGCAAGAATCAGAAATATTTTTGATCATAGGTTTAGAGCGAATCAACATAAACTCTGTCTTAGCTACATTGAGGCTAAGTTT